CTGTGGGTGCGGGGGAGCGTGAGCGCCCGGCGTGTGGCCCTCTAGAGCTGACCTTTCCTTCTGCAAAGGTGAATGTATGTCACTGCGGTCCTCACACCGTCCCCCGAGCCCCTGCACGTCCCCCCTGCCAAAACTGTGTGCCCGGAACCCCCTCCCTGCCGGGGTCAGAGTGCAGCCACCGCTCCTTGTCCTGTCTGTGGTGTTGCAGAGCCACCCATGGAGCTCGTGGAGGGGAAGAAGGTCTCCTGCAAGAAACTCCTCACCTTCCTGCTCTTCAGCCTCATATTCAGCTTCTGCCTCCTTGTTTCTCTTCGTCAGTTCAGGACCTCTGAGCCAGAGCATCACGATTCCAGTCCCTCTGCACAAACAGCCCGTGCTGGAAATGCCAGCACCCTGCCAAGGGGTCAGCCCCGGCTGACCATCCTGCTGTGGAAGTGGCCCTTTGGGCACCACTTTAACTTCATCAACTGCTCGGAGCTCTACGGCACCCCGGACTGCCACTTCACCATCAACCGCAGCTGGTCCCAAAAGGCTGACGCCGTCATTATGCACCACAGGGATGTGTGCAGGGACACGGAGGGGCTGGCCCAGCTCCCCAGCGCTGGATCTGGTTCAACCTGGAGTCCCCAAGTCACTCTCCAAACTTAGGCGCCATGGACAACCTCTTCAACTTGACCATGTCTTACCGGAGAGACTCGGACATCTTCACCCCTTACGGGGAGCTGCAGCTCCTTGGCCGGCCCCAGCCCCTCAGCATCCCACCCAAGAGCAAGCTGGTGGCCTGGGTAGTCAGCAACTGGAGAGCAGGCTCCCACCGAGTCAAGTACTACCAGGAGCTGAGGAAACACATCGCTGTGGATGTCTATGGGCAGCATCACTTGCCCCTGCCCTGGGACAAGCTCCTTCCCACTGTGTCCCAGTACAACTTCTACCTGGCTTTCGAGAACTCACGGCATGAAGACTACATCACCGAGAAGCTCTGGAGAAATGCCTTGTCCTCTGGCACCGTCCCTGTTGTGCTGGGACCTCCTCGAGAAAACTACGAGCGCTTCTTGCCCCCCGACTCCTTCATCCACGTCGATGACTTCGCCAGCGCTGGGGACCTGGCGCGGTACCTGTGGGAGCTGAGCGAGGATGCGGAGAGCTACCAGCGCTACTTCCAGTGGCGCAAGTGGTTGAAACCCGTGGCGGGGGCCAGCTGGGCCCTGCATGTCTGCAGAGCTTGTCACTTCTTGCAGACGACGGAGGCCAGGTACCGCGTTGTGCCCCATCTGTCCGAGTGGTTCGTGTAATTGCTGTTCGCTCAGCTCTCTGCTGCGCTGAAATCCTTTTGTCCTTGCTGGGAGGTTGCAGTTGCACGGGATGATTGAACTTGATGGAAATGGAGGGACAAGAGGAGCTTTGAAGCGAACAAGGAAGCAATTAGGTGTTTGTATGTCTTTGCCTCACTGGAGAACAGGCTGTCAGAGCAGTGCATTGTTTTTTTACTGAGCTATCAGTTACCTGAACAATTTGTTACGCTGGCTGCTTGGTCTTTGGAGAAGTTCACCTTCAGCCTCTGTGAACGATTCTGGATCAGCTCCACAGGCTGGAGAGCCAAAGCAAGTGGCCAAGGGGAAGATGAAATAGCAATACCTGTGTTTCGAGGACGTTGTACTGTGCAAAGCTGCGGCTTGAAGGGGCAGCCAGGCCACGAGGCTGCCTGCTGCTGCAGGGGGAACTGGCCATGTTCCTCCCTTCCAGCCCCAGCCCTGTCCTTGCTCTGCCTCCGGCTCTCCCTGGCTGCCTTCGGGGTGCTGCATCGGGGTGCTACGATGACAGAAAACCACTTCCTTTATTTTTCAAGGCTGGTTTTTGGACAGCTTAGCGAGACGACGTGGGTTTGAGGAAGGGTCTGACAGCAGCAGAGTGGTGCAGGTAAGGCGTGGGGTGCCAAGGATGCCCCTGAAAGAACCGTAGGTTTTAGTGCCTGCAGCACCCTGGGGCAAGGAGACGCTGACGACCAGCATGCGATGAGCTACCTCCCCGGTGCCTCCAGCATCACAATTCCTGGCATCAGCTGATGCCTCTAGGCCATGTGTTTAGAAAACTGTGAATAATTGGCCTTTATTGAGCTTCCTGCTGCCCTTCAGGTGGTAACACTGGAAATTGTTTCCTTCTTAGGTGGGGGAGCCCCACTGCATGGTGTCGGTGGACACAGCTGTGCCCTCCCAGGCTCCCTGCCGATACCTCTGGGCATTCAGTTTGTTTTCCCGACTGCTACTGATCCCTGAGCTGAGTTTTTCAAAGGTCTGACTTGACCCCAGGACGTTTCCACAAGGAAAATCAGCTCAGAGTCCAGCAACGCACACAGACATGCGATTGTTTTCTCCATCAGCAGCGTTTAGCGAACATTTCCAGAGCATTCCCTCTGCATTTCATCCCGCAGTTATTCTGCAGAAGGACCATCAGCAGGACCTTGTCTGTAGCATTTCCAGTCCCTTATTTTCACTTCCAACCTTTGCCACCTTCGTTTTTTCTCTGCTTTGCAGATTGGTTGAATACATCGATCAGCACAAGCCTAAGAAGAAATCCTTCCATCTGAGACCTGAACCCTTACTGCTCCCACCTCTTTCCTGTCCTCCAAACGGTACCTGTATAGGTGAGACCTTCCAGAGGCTGCTTAGTTTCATGAAGGACCCTTGCTGGACCTTACCGAACCCTTTGGAATCGTAGGTAGAAAAATGTGCCGCGTCTTCCCTAGCCACGTGCTTGCTGGCTGCTTCAACAAGCAATACATTTTGGAGCTTTCCATTTGTATTGCCAAGTCATTGCCCACGCTGCTGCCCCTGCCTCGTCTGCCTGCAGACGCACATGTCTCTCCTCCTTTAGCTCCCGGGATGCATCCACCAACCCTGGTGCTCCTCAAAGCCAGTTCCGTTCAGAGCAGCTGGAGAAATCGGAGGCTTTCACACCACCGATTGAGCTGACACGGATGTGGGTTAGGGCTGGATAACACACTACAGGCGCTCTGTGAGCAATCTCTTCCTGTCAATGGGTGGCACTGGGGAGTTGGGGTGGAGGGTCACTCGTTTCACGGCTCTGGATAGACTTGGAAGGTGACGCCTGTCCCTGGGCTATAAATCCTCGAGTCTTCCTCTGGGAAGACTTCAGCCCTGAGCACTGGCTGCCAGAGCTGCCTTTTGCTGGCACGGCCAGCAAAACCGCTTACACAGCAGAGGGGTCGATGAAACTGAGCAGCAATGGAGCACGTGGGGGCACCAAGTCCAGCTGCTTGGGAAGGGCGTTCCCTTTCCAAAAGCAAATGCCAGTGTCCAGGACCTGCTAGAGCCGACCCGTGCTGCATGCATGACCGCAGCCAAGAGGCGCTCGCTCTTGGCTTTAACCAGCGTCACAAGGAGCCTTCCCAGGACAAAACCACAATCTAAACGCCCATGAACACGTTCCGTTCACTTGAAATGTTTTCAGCCTGTTTTGGAGCACATAG